CTGTCTGTCTGTGTGTCTGTCTGTCTGTCTGTGTGTGTGTGTGTCTGTCTGTGTGTCTGTCTGTTGTCTGTCTATCTGTCTGTCTGTCTGTCTGTCTGTCTGTCTGTGTGTGTGTGTGTCTGTCTGTGTGTCTGTCTGTGTGTCTGTCTGTCTGTCTGTCTGTCTGTCTGTCTGTCTGTCTGTGTGTCTGTCTGTCTGTGTGTCTGTCTGTCTATCTGTCTGTGTGTCTGTCTGTCTATCTGTCTGTGTGTCTGTCTGTCTGTCTGTCTGTCTGTGTGTCTGTCTGTCTGTCTGTCTGTGTGTCTGTTGTTGTCTGTTGTGTGTCTGTCTGTCTGTCTTGTGTCTGTTTCTGTTGTGTGTTGTCTATCTGTTTGTCTGTATCTGTCTTGTTTTTTTTTTTTGTCTATCTGTCTGTCTGTCTGTCTGTCTGTCTGTGTCTGTCTGTCTGTCTGTGTGAGAGAGATCCATCAGTTTTCAGTGGAAAGAACAGTGCGAGCGTTTGTTGTGTTTTCAGGACCTGGTGCTCAGTGAGAACAAGAGGAACCGAGTGAGAGGAAACACTCGGAACAACAAACAGGTGAGACATTAGACAGACAGACAGACAGACTTCCTGTCTGCGGTGTCATTAAATAATCCGTCTGTCTGTCTCCAGTCTTCTTCTGTGGTGAAGGAGAAGAGAGACGGGGCTCTTCAGAAGATCGGAGGGTTGATCCAGAGCTCTCCCTCCATCCTGGGCAGTAAAGGTGAGTTCAGCCTCCCTCAGAGGACGTCTGTCTGTCTGTCTCTCAGTGGACGTCTGTCTCTCAGAGGATGTCTGTCTGTCTGTCTCTCAGAGGACGTCTGTCTGTCTGTCCCTCAGAGGACGTCTGTCTGTCTGTCTCTCAGTGGACGTCTGTCTGTCTGTCTCTCAGTGGACGTCTGTCTGTCTCTCAGTGGACGTCTGTCTGTCCCTCAGAGGACGTCTGTCTGTCTGTCCCTCAGTGGACGTCTGTCTGTCTCTCAGTGGACGTCTGTCTGTCTGTCTCTCAGTGAGTCTGTCTCTCAGTGGACGTGTGTCTGTCCCTCAGTGGACGTTGTTAGTGGACGTCTGTCTCTCAGTGGACGTCTGTCTGTCTGTCCCTCAGTGGACGCTGTTGCTCTCTGTCTGTCTGTCTCTCTCAGAGGAGTCGTCTCTCAGTGGGTCTGTCTGTCTCTCAGTGGACGTCTGTCTGTCTCTCAGTGGACGTCTGTCTGTCTGTCTCTCAGTGTGTCTGTCTCTCAGTGGACGTGTGTCTGTCTCTCAGTGGACGTGTGTCTGTCCCTCTGTCATTGTGTGACGTCCTCTCTGTGTCTCTGCAGCTAAAACCCTCATCGGTCTGGTCAGCGGACACTCGGTGGAGAAGGACGCGGTTACCACGGCAACCAAACAGAGACGAGGACGGAAGAAGCTTTACAAGACGGACGCCTCGTCCACGCTGCTGGACTCTCCGCACACGGTGAGACAGGGTGTCCTATCTTTGTGAGGACAGTCAGTGTTTCCTCTAGGATTTTATTTTTAGCAGTGTTTGACAATAAGCTCCATCAACAGTATGTGGAGTTAAAGTGGACCGCCCCAATAACCTCTGAGTAGTTCTACATAGCCCCAATAACCTCTGAGTAGTTCTACATAGCCCCAATAACCTCTGAGTAGTTCTTGTAGTTCTTCTTAGCCCCAATAACCTCTGAGTAGTTCTACTTAGCCCCAATAACCTCTGAGTAGTTCTCTTAGCCCCAATAACCTCTGAGTAGTTCTACATAGCCCCATAACCTCTGGTAGTTCCATTAGCCCCATAACCTCTGGTGTTCTTCTTGCCCCATAACCTCTGGTGTTCACTTAGCCCATAACCTCTGGTAGTTCCACTTAGCCCAATAACCTCTGGTAGTTCCCTTGCCCATAACCTCTGAGTGTTCTTCTTGCCCCATAACCTCTGGTGTTCTACTTAGCCCCATAACCTCTGTGTTCCATTAGCCCATAACCTCTGAGTGTTCTTCTTGCCCCATAACCTCTGGTGTTCCACTTAGCCCCATAACCTCTGGTGTTCTTGTGTTCTACATAGCCCCATAACCTCTGGTGTTCTTGTAGTTCTTCTTGCCCAATAACCTCTGGTAGTTCTCATGCCCCATAACCTCTGAGTGTTCTTTTAGCCCCAATAACCTCTGGTGTTTTGTAGTTCTTCTTAGCCCCATAACCTCTGGTAGTTCTTGTGTTCTTCTTAGCCCCATAACCTCTGGTGTTCTACTTGCCCCATAACCTCTGGTAGTTCTCATGCCCCAATAACCTCTGGTGTTCTTGTGTTTTCTTAGCCCCATAACCTCTGGTGTTCTACTTAGCCCCATAACCTCTGGTGTTCTACATAGCCCCATAACCTCTGGTAGTTCTACATAGCCCCATAACCTCTGGTAGTTCCACTTAGCCCCATAACCTCTGGTGTTCTTCTTGCCCCAATAACCTCTGGTGTTTCTTAGCCCCAATAACCTCTGGTGTTCCACTTAGCCCCATAACCTCTGGTGTTCCACTTAGCCCCAATAACCTCTGGTGTTTTCTTGCCATAACCTCTGGTGTTTACTTAGCCCCATAACCTCTGAGTAGTTCCACTTAGCCCCAATAACCTCTGGTGTTCTTTTGCCCCAATAACCTCTGAGTGTTCCACTTAGCCCATAACCTCTGGTGTTCTTGTGTTCTACATAGCCCCATAACCTCTGGTGTTCTTGTGTTCTTCTTGCCAATAACCTCTGGTGTTCTCATAGCCCATAACCTCTGGTGTTTTCTTAGCCCATAACCTCTGGTGTTCTTGTGTTCTTCTTAGCCCCAATAACCTCTGAGTGTTCTTGTAGTTCTTCTTAGCCCCAATAACCTCTGAGTAGTTCCACTTAGCCCCAATAACCTCTGAGTAGTTCTACATAGCCCCAATAACCTCTGAGTAGTTCTACTTAGCCCCAATAACCTCTGAGTAGTTCTACATAGCCCCAATAACCTCTGAGTAGTTCTTCTTGTTGTTAAACTGCACTGTGAGCGGCAGCCAGCGGGGGGGCATTATGTCTGCAGGATCATTTAAAACCGGGACTACATTGTGCGTCTGCCCCGTTTCTGATACCGCGGAGGCAGAAATCTAACAGCTGTATGAATAAAGTGAAATGTGAACCGTGCTGAAGCTGCAGTTTGTCGCTGTGTCTCAGATGTTCGGAGGAGCCGAGGACGAGAAGGAGAGCGATCACCTCATCATTAAGAGACAGCTGCGGTCCAAGACCAGGAAGTGACGTCATCATCACGTGACACTACTCTGCTGTAAGAGCCGGTTTTCAGGCGGCATTAAAACCTCTCAGGACACTTTGAGAATAAAACTTTTCTCTTCAGCGCGTCTGAAGAAGAGTTTGATTTTAAACCGTGTACAGTTTGTTTTTTAGTTTATTGTTTTTTATTGCTGGGATCAATAAAGCCGACGATCTTTCACTTCCTGAGAAATAAAAATGATTCCCAGCTTCTGACCAACGCTCGTCTGTCTGCTTCAGTTCACTGCTGGGAAATCTTCCTACGGAGGCTCGGAAGGTCCAAACAGTCAGACACAGAAATACTTAAAGACCTTACATATAATTAAAGTTTAAAATCCAAATGAAACTTTATTTAAACAGAAATAGAGCTTGTTTATATAAAATATACTAAAATGATCCCAGTGAGTTGTTTCACATGTTTGAGCCTCCATATTCCTGCTCACACTTTAAACACATTGTTTTAAGGTTTACATCTTCAGCAGGCAAACAGCTTTAATTATTGTGTTGCTAATGAGCAACATACAGATGAATCGTAGCATATCTGCGTACAGGACAGGAGGAAGTTGACCGAGGTTTCCTTAACTGTGATTGGAGCATAAAGCAAAGGGGGCGTGGCTTAGGACAATTACCCAGAGCACAAAGTGTCCAAACCTCCGGGTGATTAAAAACACATTAAAGTTCTTCAAACGTCAACGTGACTTTTTCTTTTTTACATTTACAGGAAGTTTTCTTGATATTTACTGCGTGACATCGCCCCTGAACCTGAATACAAACACGTTTTTACTGTAAGTCAGATGACAGATTAACAGGCTGTGTGTTAATCAATACCTCCAATAACTGACTGACGGATCAATAACTGACTGAGCAGCAGCCTCCGTTACAGACACTGAACATAAAACATGTTTGATTTCTTTAATGTTTGTTGTTGTTTTTATGTATACTAACAATGTTATAATTAATATACATATCTTTGTTTTCTGGGTCCAAAATTAATGTCACAATTAAATTCAAACACAATTCATTCAGTTATTTAAGACGAAGATATTTACTACAGCACAGTGAACACAAGATAAAATACACATAACATTTATTATATTTTTACTTTATTTCCTTGGTTTGTTTTTATTTTGGCATTTTAAATCTTCCGTAGTCCACAGCTCTACGGTCTTCAGAGGATCAATGTTGATTTAATTAATCAGTAGTTTCCTTTTTCTGACTGAAGCAGTTAATTAACGAGCCTATGCGTCTCCTCTGTAGCGCTGCAGCTAACTATTATTTTCTCAATCAATCAATCAATCAATCAATCATTTGAGGTATAAAATTGTAACAATTAAGAACAATGCCCGTTACAGTGAGTCAACATATTCAATTCACTGTGAAATAAAACACAGAAAAACATAAAATATTCACATTTTCAACTTTTGGCACTTTTATCTTAAAGATTAATCGATTATAAAAACAGGTGTCAATTAATATTCTGTCGATCAATTAATCGACCAATCATTTCGGCTCTGTTGACCCTTCTTAAGTCCCGCCCCTTTACATCACATTTAGTTAGATAAACACGAGCTAACTCATTAGATAATCTGCATTCAGTGTTAGCTTGCTATGATCAATAGATATGATCACATCTTAAGTTAGCTAATGTTAACAGAACGCTGTGATCAATAGATATGATCACATCTTACTGGAGCACAGAGGGCAAAGGGGCGGGGCTTAGGAACCGAACAGTTGAATAAAGACACTAAAGAGCAGCTTCACTTAAATCCACTGAAATTAAATTAAATTATATTTACAGCCACTTTATGAAACTGCTGATTCATTCACACTGTAGCTCGACCAGTGAGCGACTCAGCTCTTAAACTGAAATGTCCGTCGCTGTCATGTGACCGAGCTGACGACGAGCTTTAAAACAAACAATTCTCCAGACAGGAAGTTCGGCCTTCTCTCCCGTGGCTACAAAATAAAAGCATAGAGTTTGTCACAGTGTTGATTCCACTGGCCTTCAGCAGACTCTGCCTCGGCCAATCACAGCCCTCGACAGTTTGCTCCCTTTGAGGCTACGAGGCGGCGGTCTGACTGACGGCCTCCTTGTTGAAAGCCATGAAGCAATCCGATTGGTCAGACAGGATGGCAGGGAGGGGCTTGCGCCTGGCGTCCTTGGCGACGGCGGACAGCCGACGGCAGTAACTCCGTATCCCAAAGACGATGGAGAGGACGAGGGAGCTGGCGAGCATGGCGGCACCACTGAGGAAGAAGGTGCCCGTGTAACTTCCTGTGACGTCGACCAGCCAACCTGCAGGAGGAGAAACCGTCGAGTTATTTAACCACAAAACATTTAATTCTGTTCCTTCCACTTGTTGCTGTTCCTCACCTCCGATTGGCGGGCTGATGAGGTAGGGGATGGCGTGGAGGAAGTAGACCACGCCCAGCGCCGAGGACAGGTACGGAGCTCCCACCAGGTCCGACGTCACCACGGGGATCAGCGCCACATAGGCACCGTCAAAGTACCCGTAGAGGACGGCGAAGGGCACGAGGAGCGGGAAGGACCGGAGCAGTGGCACGAGGAGGCAGCAGAGACCCTCCATCCCCACCGAGAAGACGTAACACGCCAGACGGTACGGCTTCAAACACCTGAGAGACGGATAAAAACACACTTTTATGAACAAGCTCACCTGGTAGGGGCGGCGTACACCTGGACAGGTAATCACAGGAGCCGCCATCAGCAGCCGGACGTTGAGATACAGTCCAACACAAAGCTGCTCTCACTCACCTGCGGTCCGTCAGCCAGCCGAAGGTGATGTTGCCCACGATGTCGATGACTCCCAGGATGGACATGAGGAAGGCGGCCTGCTGGTGGCGGACCCCGACACTCAGAGCGTAGGGCACCAGGTAGACGAAGGGGAGGCTGCAGCCGCTGGCCAGAAACAGGAAGGACACGGCCAGACCCAGGAAGTCCGGCAGCAGCAGGAAACGGTACTCCTTACTGGACAGGAAGCCAGAGCCGAAGCACCGCCTCCTTTGCAGCTGCGATGACAAAAGGCTGTCCTCTGATTCTTTGGATAGTTTTACTGCCAGCTCCGCGTCCTCGCTAAGCTTCTCGTCTCCGTCCTCTTCCTTCGCCTCGTCTTCGTCCTCCTGCAGCGGGATCGGTCGGAGCAGTGCCCCGCACACGCAGAGGTTGGCGACGAAGGCGCTGAGGACGAGCAGTGCCCCCCTCCACGAGTACAGCTCGATAAGCAGCTGCACCAGCGGCGCCAACACGAAGGTGCCGATCCCACTGCCAGACATGGCGATCCCGTACGCCAACGCCTTCCGCCGCTGGAAGTAGCAGCCAACCATGGCGATGGCCGGGGTGTAACACAGAGCGAAGCCCAGACCTGGACAGGTAGAAATATTTAAATCAGGACATTTTATTGAAATCGGGACATTTTATTGAAATCGGGACATTCTGGTGACCTGTGAGGACTCCCATGTTGAGGTAGAGGAGTTCCAGACTGGTGCTGAAGGAGCTGAGGAGGAGTCCACAGGAGGAGAGGAGTCCACCGAGCATCACAGCCACCCGGCAGGACCAACGGTTCCCAACCAGGCTGCCAACAGGAGCTACAGACAGAGAGAGACAGACAGGGTCAGAGAGACAGACAGAGAGAGACAGACAGGGTCAGTCCGGTCTGGGTGGATCCAGGACTGCAGTACTGACCACAGAGCATGGTGCTGCAGTCCACCAGGCTGTGGATCCAGGCTGTGGCAGAGTAATCGGCTCCAAAATGAGCCTGAAACTCCACGAAGAAGATGGACACACACCTGGAGACACACAGGAAGAACCAATCAGTGATCAATAACCAGTGATCAATAACCAGTATTATCAGTGCTGGGTCAGCGCTGCAGCGGCTGTGTGATGTAACATTCTGTAATGATTATTTTGTGTTCCTACTGTCTGTCTGTTAGTTATTGTCCACATTCTTGAAGTGCATTGTGGGAGAACATGTGGACGGTGTGAGTGTCAACTGTCAACAGGAAATGTGTGTCAGAGGTCATGGGGGGGGGGTTAACATTTTATACAAAGACAGCATGCTCAGCTAGCATAGCTTAGCATAAACACTGGAAACAGAGGGGAACTGCTAGCCTGGATCCAGGTCCTTTAATCTGCACACACGTGACTCCAGAGTGCAGACACTGAAGGAGGGTCCCTGAACGCACCATTAGCTCCAG